AAATGCTAACCCCCCAATTCCATGCACACAATATCACCCTATCATCATCCAAAAGGAGAAACCTCTGCTTGTGTAGTAAAAGCTGTAACAGGTACGACAGTGGACTGTTCGCAGAAACAGTATAAAGATATTACTCCTCTGACATAGCAAATCAGTAAATGAAACTATGACAGTTCCATGCACAATGATTGTGGGAACATTTCCAATGATCTTGTTAGTCTATTTTTACCCGTGTAATGGAGCAACAGGTACAAAAAGTTTTGAAAATTTGCAAGTAACAGAAATTTGAACAATATCACAGTATATTTGCAAAATAACAATGGTATCATTATTTTTTTCATTATAGTCATGTTACACAAACACTAAAGTATTGAAATATTATTAAAATAACAAAAAATCAACATTGGTTTAAATACAGTCTTCCTTTGAATGTCGTCGATGAGTAGCCATTTTTTGACCACACCCACCAAAATCCAATCACGGACCCTGTGTCAGCCGGTTTGTACTGGTTTGAATGGATCACGTGACCTAGTTTCCAATCCCGGTTACGTAGTCTATAATACACCTCTTTTGAAATCGGTTGTCCATCTGTACTGCGCATGCGTGGTTGTTGTCCATTCATTTTAATGCATCTGCGCATGCGCAGTATGCAAAACTAGCTTTTGAAGGGGACAACTGACTTCAAAAGAGGTGTATCTATGGCTGAGCTAGCTGGTAACGTATGGGTGCGGTTGTTATTACGTAATAATGATAATGCACTACACGTGAGCATTGTCACATGATCACTGTCACATGATCACTGTTTTGTCAGCCTCACCCGTACCCTGCAACTCAATATAATGGCTTCTAAGTTTTTCCCTTCTCTACAAGTAGACGCTCCAAATCAACTGACAAGTATATTTAATTGTTTATTTCTTTTATTAAATGAAATTGTTTAATAGTTAATGATCTTTCGGAGTTACTTCAATTACTGAAAAGAGCTGGTTATTCAGGAGCCAATTACCGTAGACTTGGTCATTATCTTGGCCTTAGTAGTACTAAACTGGATATTATTGCGAGGAATAATGGAGATATTGAGAGTTGTCTGCGTGAGTGTCTCGAAGCATGGTTAGAGAAAGCTGATCATGTAGAGTGGGCTAAAGGTGATCCTACTATCTATTCATTAGTATCAGCATTGAGAGAATCAGGAGAGAATGAAGTAGCACATAGAATAGATATGGAGAGTGAGTTTAATAAGAATTAACTTATTATTATCAAGAGTGGATAATTTATTCTCCACTCTTAATATCATTACTTAATTAATTTATTTTTTATTGTAAATTTAGAGCATCCTGCTTGTAGAATTCTTGCTTGTTATATCTCAGACCTATCTTTAGTGACTGCATTAACCGAGTTGGCTGAATTACTGCATTCAGAGGTCCTTGAAGAGATGATGCTATTTGGAAAATTTCATTTGTGCAAAGTTGTTTGTAGCGATTACAGAAAACTTAAAGTATTGGCTGATATTTTATGTAAATTCAAAACCACTGCTGAGATAGGAAGTGCTATTATGAGAGACTACAGTAAGTACATGTATTATATAACTTAGACCTAATGGTTGTTTTATAGAAGAAGCTTATTTGAGTGATGATTTAATTGGAGTAAATGATGGAAATGGTAAGGATTAATTTATACTTTAATTTATAGCCTGGCACATTTTTTTAGTTGAAGGGTTGATGCACCTTCCTGGTACTGTTAAGTTAATGCAGTTAAAGTTTATGCAAGCATTCCCTAAAATTAGATCAATCTTAATGTACCACTGTTCATACCATGATGTCATGAAACATGTATTGGATCGATACAACAAATCGTTAAAACCTCAGTTAGCTCAGTGTAAAGATGTTTATGAAATTTTACAATTAGTACGTGATAACAGTTCATTTGATGACATTAGTATGTTGGAGTTTCTTGTTGATAAGTTCAACATAAAAGAGGCTAAGGTGGTAATTGAAGAATATAAAGAAGCTATTGAGGAGCTCTGGAGAGTGAAGCTTACTAGATGCTTGAATGAAAGTTTTTCAAATGCTTCACCGCTTGAGTGTGAAAGGACTACCATTATCATTGATAAAGATGCTGATGATTTTTTACTTAAAGACGTTCAGAAACTGTCATCAGCTTTATTTAAGGATTTATCACGATATGTGAAATTAAATGTCATTAGAGGTGGCGATTCTTTTGCTATCTCTTGCTCCTTTCCTTTGATTTTGTCTGATCAGTTAATTACAGCTGCTATTAATAATATTGATGTATTGAAAGAAAACAAAGTGAAGAGATTAACCATTGGATACTGCACTGTGTATGAGGTACAAATTAAAGCTATGCATGCATTTTTATCAAGTGACGACTTCAATTTTATGCAGGAATTGAATATGCTTAGGCCAGGCACGATTTTTCCTATATCATGTAACTAATTCTGTTTTAATGTATATAACCTTTTTTCATTTAATAATTAGATGAGCAGCTGTTACTATCAACTAGTAGTGGTTTATTGAAGCAATTGACTGTGTCATTTAATGTTCAACTAAATGTAAGAGTTAATGACTACGTTAATGCATTATGTACATTGTACATCATTTAAAGTTCTACAGTCAATAATAATATGAAGGGAATTGCGCTGTGCCTTTTATTGGTTTTTTACTTTTGTTTATAGGAAGCAAAGAAAGAAGCAGAGTCAGTAAAGGAAACACTAGATACTGAAAAAAAGATAAAGAAGGCCTTTATGATGGAGCTTGGCATTGCAGGTATGAATAATGTTTTTTTTGTGATAGTTTGTCATTTAATTTACTATTAGCTAAGACTAATCAGTTATTACAAGAGAAAGTATCACAATTAATGGAACATGAATTAGTTAGCAAGAAATCATTACTTTATTGTTAATGTAAACTACTTGTATGTAATGAATAATAGGAGAATGAGAATTTGAAAGAAATAAATGATATATTACACGAGCAGCTTGTTTTAATGCAATCAGCAAAAGGTTAGTCTTATTTTATCATTTATCTTATAATTAAAAAAATAGAACATTAATTGCCTCATGTTAAACTAATAATGAATGCATATTTTACAAATTGATACTGCGGAACTATTGCTAATATATACTGTACAGCTCAAATTTATTCATGGCTGTAAATTTTTTCCATTGATTTAATTTTTGTAATTGACATTGCCTGCCATCTGTCCTATTTTAAATTTAATTTTCACAAATCTTATAAGAATCGCTAAAAAAGGTTTTCCTGTATGTTAATCTATAGACAGCGTACTTACTCAAAAACAAGTTAAGGAACTTCAAAAGGAACTAAGGGAAGAGATACAAACATCCTCCAGTTTCATGGAACAGAAAGAAGTTGTTCTAAGAGTGAAAGTTGAATTACAAAGAAGGATCGATACAATTAAGCAAGAACAAGAGCAACAGCACGCCAAAGATCGCAAGGAAGTATTAGGTCAGTATGATTAAATCAGTCAGGTATAGGTGCGTGTGTGACATACATGAATATGTTGAATATGTTTCCATGTGCACATTATTTACTTTTTGTAGAATTACAGAGTGAAATACGAGAGGTCAAAAGTAAAAGTGAAACATTTCAAAGTACGTACACACACACACACATTAATTATGACCTCTTTGTATAAAGCTCAAAGGAAAGCAATGATACTGGAGAATGAAAGATTAAAGTCATTACTTAAAGATCACATTGGTACTTATTATTAAACATTAATAATCATTATTATAAATTGTATTTGATGGTACCAGTACAACAAAAAGAAAAGATATTACAAGAGACTGAGACTGTACATACATGTACTTATATTAGTAAAGGTTAGTTCATTACTCTAATATAAACTGTATATCTACTGATAGACCACATGAATGATTGTGGAGGAGTACACTAGTTGATATTAGTAGTTACCATATTTGGAGTATAGGAATTTTTAGTGATTGGTGGGTGGAATTTGTGGCTGTACATGTATTGATTAAAGCATGGGTACAAGTGCTCTATTGGACTTTCCGCATGAGCCTCCGGTTGAGTTGCTAAGGCCAAAGGCTGAGTACTCTAATTTTTGCAACAAGATGAGAAGTGAGTGCGGATAAATCCAATGGAGCACGAGGAAACCATGCTTTAATTAGCTTGTAGTGTTTGAGTTTGAGATGAAAGGAAATCTCTGAAGAACTCAGGCTGACCCTATTAGGAGAGCTAGAATTTGTGGCAGAAATGAAAAGTACTCTAAAACAAAGTTGTAGCCACTAAAAGGCAGTCATTTCTACTCCTGTACGTGAGTACCACATGGAGAAACCACGTGGAGGTACTTTGGCACCACAATTATTATGCATTGACTATTGACCTCCAAGTGTACCTCAGGCCACGTTTACACAGCAACAATTCACTCGAATCCATTTTGATTTTGCATTGTTTTTTACAGCATTTTCAATGCGTTTACACAGCTACGTTTTGATCAGAATAGCTTTAATCAATGTACACGCATAATAATTGTAATTAATAACTTGTAAAATAAAATGGCGGTGGACAAGGAAAACTTGCTTCAAAAACAACTTTTTTTCTGAGAAAGTTTGCTATATTTGTGGAAAATACGACCAGTAGCGAGTATATTTTCTGATATACATGTATTACGAGGACTTAGATTTTTGTGCAATTTTTTGAAAATGTATTCGTTTTTGTACGGGGATGATAGGGTCGTCTAACTATTATTAAAGTTAAATACCTTAAGGAGACAATTATTAGCGTGTACTTATTTTAGCAATTTTCATAAAACTGATATTTGGCTTGTACTTAATTTAGCGTTTTTGATCATTTGGTATTAATAACTACTAGAAGAATGTAAAACATTACAGGGGTGAACCTAAGCAAGCTATAGCCGGATTATGTGCTGTGATCTACATGTATGAGCATGCAAAACAATTGCACAAGTCTAAATACAGTAGATTTTGTTGCATTAATCTTGCTTAAACCATGCTTAAACTGACTCTGAAGCCATTAACATGTAAAGTTATCTTGCTTACAGTTAGAAGCAGTCACTGAATGAAGAACATTGTCATCTGCT